AGAGAGGGCGCGGGCCTACGTACTATGAGCCACGATCGAATTAACAACCTATTTTAATTACCATAAAGTTTAAGTAGGCATGGGGTATCAAGGTTACTGTTGTGGTCGAGCTTACGAAAAGGGTTACGGTTATTGGCAGGTTTACAGTAAGGGCAAGTTAAAGGGTTGAGGAATTAGGAAACGGGTTAGGGTTTGTGTAAGGATTGCGAATAGGATTAGAATTAAGTTTGTCTGCCACATATCGTCTTGTCGGATCCGAAATGAATTGACCTTCTTTAACCAATAACTCTTGATTACCTGTTGTCCGTTATGTACGCGCTTTTAATTCATTATTTTCAACGTGTGACGTCTGTTCCTAAAATTATTTAAAGTAGTTAAACAGACAGGTGGCGGAAGTGTCACTTTCGCAATTCCTTCTCAAAAGTTTCCTATTTACCATTCCAATTTGCTCTGCTCGAGAAACTAATATTAACATAATTCCTTTGTTACAGAGAACCCTTTGATCTATTTCCTCGGTGGGGCTATTTATATAATTGCCACCCAACAATTCAAATAATCGTCAGTTGGTGTTAATGTCCCACCCACTTTAAAGATGCTGCAATCCGCTGGTCGATGAATTCCCTAAGAAAGCGTACTTTTAGACCTGTATAATCACAATTAAGAGATGACTAGGCCGAAATTGTGAATCATGGTTATCTTGATCCATGAAACTGGATGGCAATTTGGTCTGTATAGAAAGCTTTTGAGCGTGAGTATGTGACCTAACAAATACTTCATTCAGCGTTACTAAGCCGCTGACATAGCTCTGATTGTTCCAGAAACCAAATTGCCATCTCAGTTTGTGCACGTGACTTTCACTTTCAGCACAAAGTCGTCCGTAAAAAGCCATCATTATTCGGTAGGACAAACTAAAGTTTTGAAAATATCCAGTGTTACAAATAAATCATAGCAAGCTACTCACGGAGAGCTGAATATTCCATTTGACAGCCCTCGGGCGTGCTGAGATTCAATTTGAAGTGCTGTTCAATTATAGGTCCCGAAGCCTCCTGTGATTTTTCAAAGTCAGCTGTTGAGGGATCCTGAAGAGTTAGGAACACTGATCATTGAACTCATAACTCCCTTTAATACGCACATGTACATCAGTATATAAGAGTTACGAGCGCTGAACAGAGAAACAGCTAACGTATTAACCGTCATCGTTCTGTTGTACGTAATCCCAGGTTTTAGGAACCGAGGATTTGTAATTGGGCTCTTTTGCCCTCCATAGTTATCTAATCCAACGCTCGTGACCTGCTTGGTGAACGCACCTTCGTTTGATTTTATTCATGTTGCCAAACCACTTTTGATTTGAGGTTAGACAGGTCACAGACGGTCTTTAGAAGTGGTCGCCGCAAAACATATAAACACGTGCATGGGTGCATTAATCCCGCTCAATCAGTGCAGCTAATCGCAATTCCTGACGAGATAAATTTTACCGATTTTTTTACCTCGATCAGTATTAAACTTTAAGACTTATTTGAAGGAGTAACCCCAATGCTCGGCATTGTGTCAATTATAAACCGTAATGTAAGAAGCGATATGCATTTTATGGTTCAGTCATGATCAAAAATTTTTCCTGTTTTCTATCGACTTGTACATAAATCCATCGTAAGAAAACCTCAGAGGTCACAAAATATCAAGAACGTTGATCACATGAAGTCCCTTCAAATAGTTGGAGAACATTGGCTCTTGTCATAAAATTTGGAAAATGGACAAAAGAAATCTAGATATGGAAGAAGAAGAAGAAGAAACGATCACTGGAACAAGAGAGTTATTTTCCTGACGTT